TGTGAAAATCAGACACTCACTGTAGTCCCTTTAAATATGTTCATCAACTCTCAAACTTAACTCAGAGTCACCCCTTACCTGTAGGAGCAGCACCATCTGTAAACCCATTCATCATGAAGGGGAATTACTCAATGACAAATCTCTCTCGCTGCTCTCTGTGCGTATGTCTGCAGATTGAATACACAAACGGGCCACATGTTCCATCCCTGCTCTTTAGCCAAAGTCATTTGTGCCATTGTCAAAAGTGATAAATGGGTTATGTGGCGCCTATGAGAGAAAGCAGTGAATTTTTATAATGTATTAAAGAGGAGCGGGAGGGCGAGGAGGCAGGCAGGGAGGAATGGAGGACGGGAGTGGAGCTGGAAAAGTGGGCTGTCATGCTGTAGTGCTGTGCTGTAGGCAGGGGACCTCTGTCACACACAGTTTGAGCCCCTGCTTCACATCTTTACTGGCACCTCGTCTGTATTTCCCTCAGATATCCAGCCATCAGCTTCCCTGGAGCTTTCAGCCGTCCAGCAAGGCAGCAGAGCTGGCAGACACAATATCCAGTGACTGCTCTGTCAAGTGCAACGTATGGCAGTGTACAGTGTGTGTGTGTGTGTGTGTGTGTGTGTGTGTGTGTGTGTGTGTGTGTGTGTGTGTGTATGTGTTTAAGAGTGGTCTTGTTTTGCTATTTTTGTAAGAGCCAGTTTGTATTTTAGACCTTCACATGAGGGACATTGTTTCTATTTGAGGTCATTTTGGTTGGTTCCCATTTCATGATAGGGGTAATTTAAGAATTGGATGGAAAGATAATAATGTTTTAATGTGCCCTCTCACACAGACTCTGCCCACTACTGGACTCTTTGGGTCACACTACTCTAATCACAAGCACGCATACGCACTCTGACAAAAGCATAAACATAGTCGGACAATCAGGATGTGCCTAACCAAATATTTGTGGACACCACAGTATATAAAGAGGTGGATTTCTGCCGTCAGATATCCTACAACCTCTACGCCTGTCCTAATAGAACTAGAGTTATAAGATCTAGAATCTAAAAAATAGATAGATTATCAATGAAGTAACGTTGCTGTGCCTCGTGCGTAAATGCGCATATACTTGGCGTATCTGGAGATTTAAATAATCAATGAAGTTACTGCTTCCCACTTTTTATTCCCCTGTACAGTGTTTCCCTGCAGAGCAACAGTGGAAGGATAATAACAAAAAATACAAAAGACTGTAACGTTAAAAGATATCTGCCTGAGGTTATTAGATACCTGCAGCGAGCACCCCACCCCACCCCGCAACCCACCCCGCAGCAGAAACAATAAGCGCGTTTCCCTATAAAGAGAGACGCTGTGCGCATTTACGCACGAGGCACAGCAGC